CTCATTTTGGTGTTGATTTGCATTTCCTAAAAGACTAATGATGTTCAACACCTTTTCATATGTTTATTAGCCATTAGTATATCTTCTTTGGTGAAATGTCTATTCAGATACTCTGCTCATTTTTGAATTGGATTGTGTATCATTTTATTATTGATTTAAAAAATTTTTTAAATGTTTATATTTATCAGATATATGATTTGCAAATATTTTTCTCCCAAATAATTTTTTCTCTGTGGCTTGTCTTCTCACTTTCCTAATGTATCTTTTGAAGCACAAGTTTTTAACTTTGATCAAGTTCAGTTAATCCTTTTTTTCTTCTTTATGGGTTATGCTTATGCTTTTGATGCTCGTATCTCAGAAAAGACAAGGATTAAAACTACTTTTCATGGAATTATGATATTTGCCTTATTTTCAGGACTAGTCTGGTGATCAGACTATTGTGTGAGTTTTGTTGAAATGTATAATGCCTTGCCTCTGGGTGATGGCCTCATTGTTCCAGAGTCCTTTGGGCAACTATTACTAGAGAGGCAGAGTAATATTGATCAAAAGTGTAGGCTTTGGGGCCTGACTACCTGGGTTTGAATTTTAACTTCATCCCCTCCTAACAGTGTTACTTTGGGAAAGTGGCTTTATTTCTCTGTGCCTCAGTTTCCTCATCTGTAAAATGGGGATAATGCTATTGGGTTGGCCAAAAAATTCATTTGGTTTTTTCCGTAAGATCTTACGGAAAAACTTTTTGGCCAGCCCAATACTTTGCTCGTAGGGTGTTTGTGTATATAAAGTTCATAAGAAATGCCTGGGGCAGAGTAAGCCTCAAGAAATATTAGCTCTTATTATTAGGGGAGCAATTCTCAACTGTAGTTTGGGGTGGGGTTGTGCATATTGGAATCATTTGTGGGTCTCTGCATGCCTTTCTAAAGTGACAGATTCCGCCATGGGTTACAGCAGCTGGGATGATAAGTATTGCACTTAGCCTTCCTTGACACATTTAAAGTTGATTGTTCCTTAAAATCACTTTCATTAAATGAGGCAGTTTGGGTTGATGTGTAGAATTATAAAACTCTTCATCAGATGTAAAAATAGCTCAAGCTCCATTAACACTTAGAAAATGAATAATCTATTAATTCCTCTTGCCAAGGCAAAAATCAGGCAGTCTTAGGCAAACCAAGAGCAGTATATAAGCTATCTGCATTTGATAAATACATTTTCCTGCTTTTGGGGTGGTTTATTAGTCCAGGGATCAGATTATGGGGTAAGAACTTGTAATTCAGAGATAGAAGAATTCCTGCTTTGCTCCTGTTGGAGGATAAGATTCACAACTTTTTTTTTCTTGTCTTCATTTGCAAAATGAGTTTAATGAAATTTGAGACCTATTTATCTTCAAAAGGGATTCATGATCTGATATGGGACTACTATCAGAATATATAAAGAATCCTTATAACTCAACAATAAAAAGACAGAAAATGGGCAAAGGATTTAAATAGACATTTCTCCAAAGGGGATGTACAAATGTCCAACAGGGACATGAAAAGATGTTCAGCATCATTGGTCAATAGTGAGAAGCAAATCAAAACCACAATGTGATACCACTTTACACCTACTATGATGACTATAGTAAAATTTAAAAAAGGAAAATATTAAGTGTTGGTGAAAGTGTAGAGAAATAGGAACCCTCGTACATTGCTGCTTGGAATGTAAAATGGTTCAGTTCCTGTGGAAAAGTTTGGTGGTTCCTCAGTAAGTTAAACATAGAGTCATCATAGGACCCAGCAATTCCACGCCTTAGTATATATCCAAAAGAGTTGAAAACATATGTCAACATGGATGTTGACACAGATGTTTGTTAAAGCTGCATTATTAATAATAGCCAAAAGATGGAATCAATCCAAATGACCGTTAAGGGATAAATGGGTAAACAAACTGTGTTATATGCATACAGTGGAATATTATTGAACCATGAAAAAGGATGAAGTACAGATATATGCTGCAACTTGAATGAAGTTTGAAAACATGCTAAGTGAAAGAAGCTAGACACAAAGGTCATATATGGTATGATTCCTTTTATTTGCCATATCCATTATAGGCAAATCCAAAGAGACAGAAAGCAAACTAGAGGTTACCAGGGGATGAGCAATGGGAAATAGGGAGTGATTATTTAATAAGTATGAAGTGTTTTTATGGGGTGCTGAAAAAGTTTTCAAACTAAAGAGAGATGGTGGTTTTACAAAATTGTGAATACACTAAATACCATTAAATTTTGTACACTCTAAAATGGTTAATTGTGGGGCTTCTCTGGTGGCGCAGTGATTGAGAGTCCGCCTGCTGATGCAGGGGACGCGGGTTCGTGCCCCGGTCCGGGAAGATCCCACATGCCGCGGAGCGGCTGGGCCCGTGAGCCATGGCTGCTGAGCCTGCGCGTCCGGAGCCTGTGTGCTCTGCAACGGGAGAGGCCACAACAGTGAGAGGCCCGCGTATTGCAAAAAAAAAAAAAAAAAATTAAAATGGTTAATTGTGTGCTAAGTGAATTTCTTGTCAGTTTAAAAGTGGGGGAGACAGAAGTTTTAAAGTGCAGGGAATGATTATGCTAGAAAAGGATGACCATATTTGATGTGGCTACTCCAGTGTCTGGATATCTCTCCAAATTCATTTTTCACTCACCTTTGCTTGGGACAGTTTATTCTTTTTTTAATAAGTTTCTTTCTTTCTCGCTCTCTTTCTTTCTTTCTCTTTCTCTTTTTCTCTCTCTATCTCTCTCTTTCTGCATTGCTGCACGTGGGCTTTGCCTAGTTGTGGCGAGAGGGGGCTACTCTTCGTTGAGGTGCTCTGGCTTCTCATTGTGGTGGCTTCTCATTGCGGAGCACAGGTTCTAGGCGTGCGGGCTCTAGAGGGCAGGCTAAGTAGTTGTGGTGCACGGGCTTAGTTGCTCCGTGGCATGTGGGATCTTCCTGGACCAGGGCTTGAACCCGTGTCCCCTGCATTGGCAGGTGGATTCTCAACCACTGCGCCACCAGGGAAGCCTGGGGCAGTTTGTTCTTACACAAAACATTTTACCTGAAAATACTGCAGTGTCTGCTAAGATAGAAACTTTTTTATAAAGAGTATATTATCTTTGGGGAAGCCCATAAGAGGCCCAGTTGCTCTGGAACTAATAAAGCTGATGAGGAACAAAAGCTATTCTTAGAACCTGTAATTAGGTAGCATTCTGTTTTTCCTGGGCATAACATTTTATCAGGCTACCAGTTCATTTTTTTAAAAAATATTTCTTGAAGTGAAATTCACCTAACATAAAATTAACCATTTTAAAATGAATGATTCAGTGGCCTTTTGTGCATTAGCAGTGTTGTGTAAGTACCAACTCTCTGTCATTCCACATGTTTTCATCACCCCAAAGGGGAATCCCATACCCATGAAGCACATCCTTGCCAGCACTTGTTTTCCACTTTTTTGATTATAGGCAGCCTGATCGGTGTGAAATGGTACCTCATTGTGGCTTTGATTTGCATTTCTCTTAATGACTGAAGAAGTTGAACATCGTCATATGCCTGTTGGCCATTTGTATTTCTTCTTTGGAGAAATACCTACTCAAGTCCTTTTCCTTTTTCTCTTTTAAAAATAATTAATTAATTAATTAATTTTTGGCTGCGTTGGGTCTTCGTTGATGGGTCTATGTTGCTGCATGCAAGCTTTCTCTAGTTGTGGCGAGCGGGGTCTTCTCTTCGTTGTGGTGCGTGGGCTTCTCATTGTGGTAGCTTCTCTTGTTTCGGAGCTCAGGCTCTAGGTGTGCAGGCTTCAGTAGTTGCGGCATGTGGGCTCAGTAGTTGTGGCTCGCGGGCTCTAGAGCACAGGCTCAATAGTTGTGGCGCATGGGCTTAGTTGCTCTGTGGCATGTGGGATCTTCCCGGACCAGGGCTCGAACCCGTGTCCCCTGCATTGGCAGGTGGATTCTTAACCACTGCGCCACCAGAGAGGTCCCTTTTTCTTTCTTTAAATCGAGCTATCTTTTAGTTGTTGAGCTTTGTACATGCTCTTTATATATTATGGATACAATATGACCCTTGTCAGATGTATGGTTTGCAAATATTTCTCCCATTCTGTAGGTTGTCTTTTTCACTTTATTTTTTGTTTTAACTTTTTACTTTCTATTGGAGTATAGTTGATTAACAGTGTTGTGATGGTATCTTTTTCACTTTCTTGGTAGTCCTTTGATACACAAAAGTTTTAAAGTTTGAAGTCTAATCTGATTTTTCTTTTGTTACCATACTATTGGTGTCATATCTAAGAATCCATTGCCAAATCCAAGGTCATCGAGATTTTCCTCTCTTTTTCTTCTAAGAATTTTATGATTTTATGGTTTTAACTCTTACATCATTGATCCATTTTGACATAGGTTTTGTATATAGTATATGGTATGGGTTCACATCATTCTCTTGCATGTAGATATTCAGTTGTCCCAAAATCATTGGTTGAAGAGACTCTTCCTTCTCCATTAAATTGTCCTGGCAGCCTGGTTGAAAATCAGTTGGACATGGATGTGTGGGTTTATTTCTCTGCACTCAATTCTGTTCCTGTAAGGAACGGCACCAAGAAACGGGGGAGAGCTTAAACAAGCTTTATTTGGGAACGCTCCCGGGCGCGGTTCACTGGTCCGAGAGAAAGGGGCCAGAGAAGTCGCGCCTGGGCGAGGGTTTGGGCAGAATTTATAGGGGAAGAAGGGAAAGGGGTGTGGTGAATCCAGGAGGGCGCAGGGTATTCCTTATTTGGTGGTCTTTTCGGGTATTGTGGGGGACCGTTAGTCCCGCCCCTTGAAAGGGGGGAAGGCTGGGCTGGGTGGAAAGTCCCCAGGTCATTTCCTGGAACTGGGTGGTCCGGAAAGTCTCCAGGTCAGTTTCAACCTGTGAGTCTGATTGCATTCCCCTGCCTCGGGCCATTTGGCCTTACAGTTCCTGCCATGTACTTTTGTATGGGCTGAGTTTCTTGTTTTTTTCTCCCTTTGATAATAGGATCACGGGGTTGATAGCACCATTTTCCAGAATCCTAAGAAGCTTCACCTAACTATTGGGATGTTGGTGCTTTTGAGTGAGCAAGAGATCCAGCAGACATGTGAGATGCTACAGCATTGTAAAGAGGAATTCATTGAGTGAGTAATCCACAGGAGTGGGGAAGGGTGGTCACCCTGTACTGGCTTCTTTCTGGTATCACAGACTTGTTTTTGGACTAGGGAGCTGGGTGACATGGGAACAAAATTTGTTGACTCACCCATTTGTAACACTTAACATTGGATTATCGTCTAAAAGGTTTAAAATGGATTTAAAGCATATATTTACAGATTTGTGTGGAAAGGCTCTACCTTAAATTTTACCAGTTCAGTTGGCAAATTTTGTTCTTTAACAAGGACATCCCATTCTTTTCTCAAAAAGGAAATTCTCTTCATTATCTATAGAAGAGTGTAGGCTACTGTATTAGTTTTCTGTGCTGCTGTAACACATTACTACAACCTTGGTGGCTTAAAACAAGACAAATTTATAATCTTATAGTTCTGTGGGGCAGAAATCTGATAGGGGTTTCACTGGGCTAAAATCAAGTTACTGGCAGGGTTGTGTTCCTTTTTGGAGGCTCTAGGGAAGAATCTATTTCCTTGTCTTTAAAGTCCTGATTTAGAGGCCACCCACAGTACTTGGCTAGTAGCCTCCTTCCTCCATCTTCAAAACTAACAATGTTGCATCTGTTTGACCCTCAATCTGTTACATCTCTCTCTCTGGCCACAGCAGGGACAGGTTCTCTGCTTTTAAGGATGTGTGTGATTTAATTGAGCCCACCCAGATAATCCAGAGTAATCTCCCCACCTTAAACTCTTTAGCCTTAATCACATCTGCAAAACCTTCTTTGCCATGTAAGGTAGTATATTTACAAATTCCAAAGAGTAGAACATGGGCATCTTTGGAGGGCCGTTATTGTGCTTACCATAGTAACTCAAACATAACATGATTCCATAGGAGAGTCTTCACTGTATTTCAGAAATGCAGTCTTTAATTTTCTTTTCTTTAATAAAGGTAGTTTTGTTTGAGTCAGTAAGGATACCAAAAACTGTCCAAGCAGTCGGTTTTGGCTCAGGGAAAACATTGCTATTCTGACGGCAGAGTTGTTATTCTTTTTACTGTAAGATTTTAATTTGCATATACATCTGACCTAACAGCTCTGTTTCAAAGGATCATATCTTCTGAGCCCCCCTTCCTTTGTTCCTTTTACTTAAGATTGAAGCAAACCAAGAGAAACTTGAAAATTAACTGACTTGAATAGTTTTATTTTTATTCAATTGTAAAATATACTATTCTGACATGGCCTTGTAGAAGTGGGTTACCTGGTTCATTGGGTAAAACAAGGTAAAAGGATTTAAATTTTTTCTCAAGTTATGTTGTATATGAAACTGTAATACAAAGACTTATTTGTGGACCAGTTTTCTTTTTTCCATTAATTGTTTTGAAGACAAAATATTTTTCTTGAGCAAAATCATAAGCTGATCATGTTTGCAGCTGCCTGTTCTTTCTGAATTTCAAACAGCAAAGAATACTTCTTTGTCTTGTTCTTTGCATAGTGATGGGCAACTATTTTCTCTCTATCTGACCTAAAATTCAAAATAATTTGGTGTTTGTAATTAGATATTTACAGTTTTCCTTGCATAAAATAAAATTTTATGCTTTACCTTACAAAGCAGAGCAATTTTACCTTGTTTAAAAATCACTTCTGATACTTTAACTTCCCAGATTACTTTTTGCTAAACAAAACTGAAAGCAGCTGCATTTTTTGGCTGCCATTAGGATAATCCTGCTAACAAAAAAATTAAAGGCGGATAAAATATTTGTTCAGAGAGGTATTTGGTTTTTTACCTTATGAAAATCAGGTCACAGGATTTTAATCACTGAAGCCTTATCCTGAGCTATGTGAGGATTTAGTTGAGTTCCTCCCTTTTATGTCTCTTGGTGTCTTTTGTGACTAAATGCCAAATCTGAACCCTTTAAGCGTGTCAGAGTTGGTGTGCATAGGGAATGAAGAGCAGCCTTAATAGTTCCTAAGAATTTTTGACATGACAGGATGAAAACAGTAATTGTAGTTTTTCAAATTCAGCAAAGCTTTTGAAATAGGACACGTTACCCTGCCAAAAATCTGCAATGCAGGCAAAAATTTTTTAAAGTTGCTCTTTTCAAAAAGCTGGAAAGGTTTAAAACCAGCAAGTAAAGCAGGCCTCCCCAGCCTTCTTCTCTCACCTTCCCTCTGTTATACACACTTGTTTTAAAAGTATATAGTGCAAAATTAATCTACCTGATTGGCTAGAGGGGTGAGAATCAGAATTGGTTGTTTGTATTGTCCAGAAGTGCCCTGTTTTCCTAAAAGGAAGAAAAGTCTCCTAAAAAAAAAAAAAAAAAAGGATACTTACAATAAAGCCCTGGTGTAAAATGTATCACCTAACTTCTTTTTCCTTCTTATTCCTTTTTTTCTTTTTTACATCTTTATTGGAGTATAATTGCTTTACAATGGTGTGTTAGTTTCTGCTTTATAACAAAGTGAATCAGTTATACATATACATATGTTCCCATATCTCTTCCCTCTCCCTCCCACCCTCCCTATCCCACCCCTTCTTCCTTATTCTTGATCTTCGATCTGTCTTTGTACTTGGTATGCTTAGAAAAAAAATGTCAATAAATAATTGCATTTCTAACCTGAACCTTTTATGATGTAAAGATCGCAAATTAAAATATAAAGGTGGAAAACATTGGAAATGAATAGTCTACTATATAACATGCTGTAGCTTAATTTAATGGCTTTTTAAATTGAGGTATTAAATGTGGCTATATTGGCGTTTAATTAAAATTGTGGTGATACATAGATATTTTAAAGAAATGGGTAGTTGAATGTTCGTTTTAAATTTGGGGGTGGTATTTGAGTTTAAAGTATGTCACCTGACCAGAAATAGAACTTTCATTTCAATTCTTAGGCTAAAAGCTCACGTAGCTGTGTAGATTTCAAATGAATTATTCACGATGTTCAGTAGTGCTGAAGCACTAAATGTGTCCCTTGTGACTTTTCTTTGTGATATGTCGAACACAAACAGTGCCATGTCTCTGAGTATATAGTCTGACAAATGTGCGGCTCTTCTTTAGCTCCCGTAACACTTTACTCATACCTAAGTGTTCCCAGTAGGCCTGAAGTAAAACCAAATAAGAAGTTAAAAAGGGACAAGAATGAGGAGAGGAGAAGAGGAAAAATACCCACGGACAAATGTCCCTAATTATTGCCTCATATGTCTCTCCATTGAAGAGTGTGCTCAGTGGTATCCAAGGTGGAATAGTTTGGTCACCAAGACAAAGAGCATTTATCAAGCAAACCATTGGATTCTCTCCCGCTCTTTAATTCTCCCTCTTGATAAATCCTAGGGATAGGTTGAAAGAGTTTGTTTCTACTTGTAAGGCAGACTTTGAATCTGTTCATGGTTTTGTTTTTGGTACCGCATCTAATTCCAGTGGTTTGAGGTAGTTTAGAGTGAGGACATATATACAAAAGAAATGTTAAAGTCAGACAGATTAGAAACCATAAAGATGGAATGGGAAGAAAATTCTGTCTAAAAACCAAGGTGAGATAATAATTGTACTAGAACTTTAACATTTAGTGGTGTTTTCAAGCATCAGTATACTTGAACTATGGGAATTCTTGGCAGTCCAGTGGTTAGGACTTGGCGCTTTCACTGCCAGGGCCCTAGGTTTGATCCCTGGTGGGGGAATTAAGATCCCACAAGCTGTGCAGTGTGGCCTAAACACACACGCACACACACACACACACACACACACACACACACACACACACACACAC